TACAAGCTGGGACACATTGTGTAGCATATTGAGCAATAACAAGTACATGGGTGAACCGAGACAATCACTGCGCTCTTTGAATTGATACAAAACCAAAATGGTGTTTATCCAACACATCCCGCCAGAACACCAGAAACGTTTACTTGTATCTACACCGAGCGGTAACGCTGACTGCAGGGGTGTGGTTTCTAAACCGCACTATCATGTGGCGCATTAATTTCTCTGTGTAGACGCTGCAGGTGCGCACAAGAGGCTCGCTAGTGTTCTTTGCCATCGTGCTGTTTGAAACAATGCTACAGTAAACGTGCACCAGGAAACATTACAAAAAGAGATTGTTCATTACAGGTGTGGAAGGATTTGTTTTTACTGGTAAATGTCGGTAAGCATCAATTTCACTGGACACCCACAAATGGAGGAAAAAATACTTCCATTGATAATAACTGAAATGTACAGACCGGCAGAGTCAGAGAAACACTGCTTGAGAACTTATCAGAGTTTGATTTAAGACTATTTACTTGGTGTATTTTGACATGCGATATTGACAATTTTTGTTTTAATGGTTATAAAGCTTTCACTTTTTGAATCTCAGCATCTACTGTCATTAAACACTTAGTATCTGATCCCCCTTCATACTTTCCCACTGTGACAGGTTGGATCACAGAAACCACCTGGGAGCTGCCACCTGATGTGCCAAGACTACTTCTGTCCCTGCTAGCTTGGGACTCCAGCACCCTGTCTTGCTGAGCCAGTCACTCCCGTCTGCTCCAACACAGACCCAGGGTCTGAATTACTTGCCCCAAAACTGCAGACTTAACTGAAAGCAGCTTACAGAAGTGTTCCTGTCTTTAACACTCCCAACAGGTTCCAAACCCCAAATAAATCCATTTTATCCTGTATAAAGCTTATACAGGGTAAACTCATAAATTGTTCACCCTCTATAACACTGATAGAGAGATATGCACAGCTGTTCCTCCCCCCCAGGTATTAATACATACTTTGGGTTAATTAATAAGTAAAAAGTGATTTTATTAAATACAGAAAGTAGGATTTAAGTAGTTCCAAGTAGTAACAGACAAAACAAAGTGAATTACCAAGCAAAATAAAATAGAACACGCAAGTCTAAGTCTAGTAAACTGAATACAGATAAAACCTCACCCTCATAGATGTTTCAACAAGTTTCTTTCACAGACTGGATGCCTTCCTAGTCTGGGCACAATCCTTTCCCCGGTACGGCCCTTGTTCCAGCTCAGGTGGTAGCTAGGGGATTTCCCATGATAACTCTCCCTGTGTTCTGTTCCACCCCTTTATATATCTTTTGCACAAGGCGGGAACCCTTTGTCCCTCTCTGGGTTCCCACCCCTCCTTCTCAATGGAAAAGCACCAGTTTAAAGATGGATTCCAGTTCAGGTGACATGATCACATGTCACTGTAAGACCCCAAGCCCACATTCCTCACAGCCTGACTCACAGGAAGGCCTGCAAGCAAACAGAGCCATCTGCAGTCAATTGTCCTGGCTAATGGGAGTCATCAAGATTCTAAACCACCATTAATGGCCCACACTTTGCATAATTACAATAGGCCCTCAGAGTTATATTTCATATTTCTAGTTTCAGATACAACAGTGATACATTTATACAAATAGAATGATCACACTCAGTAGATGATAAGCTTTGTAATGATACCTTACAAGAGACCTTTTGCATGAAGCATATTCCAGTTACATTATATTCACACTCATTAGATTATTTTTATCAAATCATATAGAGTGCAACATCACACTCGCATCTGTGAACATTTAAATAGATACAAATCAAACAAAAGGCTTAAAAATAAACATCAATATTATTAGTTGAATTCTGCCAAGCCCAAGGATATACTATTGTAATGAGCAACGCATATAATAGACATTACTCCTTGGAGTATATACAAAATCAAAGTCCAGCGTTTGGACCGCTGCACAGAACTGCAACATTGCTAAAAATAAACCCTGAGAAATGAAAGTAACAACCCCCCCCAAAATAGAGGCCCTAGAAATGGCCTTTCCCATCCATCCGCGGAGCTAAAACTCCTCCTGGCTCACATCTCGATTGCTGTGACATCCCCTTCTCCAGCTTTGACAAATGCAATCCTGCCCTGCTCAGATACATAAGAACGGCCATACTGGGTCAGACCAAGGGTCCATCTAGCCCAGTGTCCTGTCTTCCAACAGTGGCCAGTGCCAGGTGCCCCAGAGGGAATGAACAGAACAGGGAATCATCAAGTGATACATCCCCTGTCGCCCATTCCCAGCTTCTGGCAAACAGAGGCTAGGGACACCATCCCTGCCCATCCTGGCATTCAGAAAGCTGCTGCAGAGATCACTCCCCGAGCCCACCGCTTTGTCTGCATCACCCCTCTCTTTGCTTTGCAGCCCTGCACTGGCTCCCCCTTCTCCAGCTCCTCAAACATCAGCTGCTTCTCTTCGCTCAGACGGGCCTTCACGGCCAATCCCCACCCGACCTTTCGTCTCTTGTTCGCACTCCCACCTCGGGTCGGTCCGTGCTGCCAGCTGCCATCGCCCACTGGGTACATTTCCAGACAAGCCCCTCGGTGACACCCCCCCCCCCCCACTCTCCTTCACGCTTGGGGACGTGATGATCCCATCCAGCCTGACATGGCCATGATTCTCTGGAAACAGCACAGAAAGGAGATCGATGACCCCTAGCGCCCCACAGGGGCATCGGGGCAGCCCTGACTGCCAGGGGAGAGCTCCCATCCAGCCCCCTGCAGCACAGCGCCCCTCAGTGCCAGCCTGGGGCATTGGGGCCAGCCCTGAGTGCCAGGGGAGAGCCCCCACGCTGCCCCCTGCAGCGCAGCGCCCCCTGGTGCCAACCTGGGGTATCGGGACCAGCCCTGAGTGCCAGGGGAGAGCCCCCACGCTGCCCCCTGCAGCACAGCGCCCCCTAGCGCCACCCTGGGGCATCAGGGCCAGCCCTGACTGCCGGGGAGAGCCCCCACCCTGCTCCCTGCGGCACAGCGCCCCCTAGCGCTCCGCAGGGCCATCGGGGCCAGCCCTGACTGCCAGGGGAGACATCCCACCCCGCCCCCTGCAGCAAAGCCCCCCCAGCACGGCACTGGGGCATTGGGGCCAGCCCTGACTGCCAGGGAAGACTCCCCACCCTGCTCCCTGCAGCACAGCGCCCCCAAGCACCAGCCGGGGGCATCAGGGCCAGCCCTGAGTGCCTGGGAAGAGCGCCCATTAGTACTGGATTACTAACTCCGTTCCCTGCAGTGCTCTCTGGATTTTCCTAGCCAAGGACTGAGTACGTGCAAGCCCTCTTAGCTTGAGACTGACCAGTTCCTGCCAAGCTAACGCAGCTCTCTGCCAGGGGACCCCATTAGGGCAAGAGTAAACCCTCTGGCAAGAGTCAAAGAACGTCCCCCAAGAAAATTTTGCAGCATCACCTTCAGCTCTTTGGCCAGGGCTACACTACACACTTACTGCGTCGCTTGGGGGTGTGTGTGTGAAAAATCCACACCCCCCCCCCACAGTGTAGACAGCTGTATGTGGATGGGAGAGTGTCTCCCGCCGACATAACTAGCGTTTCTCACAGAGGTGGAGTTATAGGGCGAGCTCTCTCCCGGCGGCTTAGAGCGTCTCCCCAGATACGCAACAGGGGTGCAGTTGTGCCGATGTCAATTTCTAGTGCAGACCTGCCCCTAATCTCCCACCGTCTGTGATGTTCAGGATTCTTGGTTGGGGTTGACGTTCCGGCTCGTTGGCTGGGAACAGCAGCGCTGGAACTGGGCTGTTTGCTCGCTGCTTTCAAAGACAAACAGGAAGAAAACCCTGCCAGTTGCTTTCACTTTCCAGATTATTCACCCTGCTCGGCGTCGGTGGGAGAGACACGAGAGAGATGGGAAACCGAACACAAATCACTCTGGTTCTGTAAGCTCTTTGCCGAGTTCGGGCACCTGGGGCTCCCGGGAGCGAAGCCGGTAAGTGGCTTTTCTTGGCTTTGGGTCTTGTTTTGTTGGGGGCTGGTTGTTGGAAGGCCAAAGAGGCACTATAGCTGCTGTTGACTAGCAGCCATTTTAGGTGTCCTGAACGCCACATACCGATGAATAATGCCACAGAGCTGGGCTCTGCTATCAACGCTCCACATGGGCCATCGAGTTAGCCAGGGTGAGGCCACCCTTTGCAGGACCCCGGGCAGCATGTGGCCATGGGGGAGGCTCTCCGGTCTGACCAGGAAGACACGTTCTCTGGGAGAGGCACAAGCCCTCAGTTCCCAGGACAGAAACACCCCTCCCCCATTTTCTATTTGTAATAGAAAATGATCCCCTTTCTCTAGACCAGTGGTTCTCAACCAGGCGTACACGTCCCCTGGGGGTATGTATGTAGAGATCTTCCAGGGGGTACATCAACTCAGCTAGATATTTGCCTAGTTTTACAACAGGCCACATAAAAAGCACTAGCGAAGTCAGTGCAAACTGAAATTTCATACAGACAATGACTTGTTTACACTGCTCTATAGACTGTCCACTGAAATGCAAGTACAATATTTATATCCCAATCGATGTATGTTATAATTATATGGGAACAATGAGAAAGGAAACACTTTGGCAGGAAGAGTGCGTCTGTGACACTTGTACTTTTATGTCTAATTTTGTGAGGAAGTCTTTTTAAGTGAGGTGAACCTGGGGGGTACGCAAGACAAATCAGACTCCTGCAAGGGGAATAACAGTAGTCTGGGAAGGTTGAGAGCTGCTGCTCTAGAGGGGGTGGTGCTTCATTTCGGCTTCCCCTGGGATGTCAGAGAATTGGATTCCTGCTACGGAATTGCATTCAATGTAATTTACACCCAGGGAAAGGGGTGTGAGCATTAGTGAGAAACCAGGTCTGCATTTGTTAAAGGCGTTTCCACAGCACCCTGCCAAATACGTCTGCAATCGCTTTGCTTTCCTGGCTATTAAATGACATAGGAGATGAGAGATCGGAACCAGCCCGGCGTTACGCCTGAGCGCTACCGGGGTGAGCGAGAGGGGAATCGCGCCCTGCGCCTTCATTCCTGACGTTCAGCGGCTCGCCTGGGGCAGGAGCCAGCCCTTCAGAGACCGTCCCACCTTCGCTTGCAGCTGCAGGCTGCTCCGCACCATGACGAGAGTCAGTCTCGTTTGCTCACTTCACTCGATTGCGCTGTGGACTCTCTGCTGTAAGTATTCCAGCTCTGCTCGCCTTTGTCTTATTTATTAGTCAGGATGCTGGTGATAACGACTTCAGTGCCCCGGAGCCCCAGTCACAACCCAGGCCCCCACTTTGCTTGGTGCCATCCATTCTGATTGCTGTTTATTAGGTGTATCACGGTAACACACAAGAACCCCAGTCCTGGCGCGAGGCCCCATTGGGCTCAGTCCTGTGCGTTATTACAGTAACCCCTCACTGGACGGCGCCCAGTTAACGATGTTTCGTTGTTACGTCGCTGATCAGTTAGGGAACAGGCTCGTTTAAAGTTGGGCAGTGCTCCCTTATAAGGTTGTTTAGCAACCGCCTGCTTTGTCTCCTGCTTGCAGGAAGAGCAGCCCGTTGGGGCTAGTGGGGGGGGGGCTTGGAGCCAGGGTGGACCAGCAGCCCCCCTATCAGCTCCTCTGAGTTCCCCGTGCGGCAGCCGCCCAGCAGGCTATCGACTGCCGGCAGTTCAGGTGTCCCTCCCCCCACTGCCATGTGCTGCTCCTGCCCTCTGCCTTGGAGCTGCTCCCCAGAGCCTCCTGCTTGCTGTACGGGGCAGGAGGGAAGAGGAGGGCTGATGTCAGGGTGTCCCTCTCCCCCCGCTCCTGCCCCCCACTCCTGTACCCCATCTACACAGAGCAGTGGGGGGACACGACAGGGCTCAGGAGGGAGGGAGCTTGCTGGCAGCAGCTGCTGTCTCAACTTGCTGATCTACTTAAAAAGGCAATGTACTTAGAATGGCGTCAGCGTACTTAAAGGGGCAATGTGGACCTCTCTCACATACACACATGGTGTGTGTCTCTGTCTCTCCCTCTCCATTTCTCTCTCTCTCTCTCTCTCTCACACACACACACACACACACACACACAGAGTGTGTGTCTCTCCCTCTCCCTGTCTCACACACAGTGTCTTTCTCTCTCACGCACACACACACACACACACACACATTGTGTGTATCTGTCTCTCTCTCACACACACAAACACATGGTGTGTGTGTCCCTCTCTCTCTCTCACACACACACACATGGTGTGTGCCTCTGTCTCTGTTTCTCTGTCTCGCTCACACACACACACACATGCACCCCCCGGCACTTTGGAAAGGGGAGGGAGTGGTGCGCTCCAGTGGGATAGCCTGGGTTCATCATCACGTTCAGTTTCCGCAGGGAATGTTTGCAGCCACTGCCATGCGTCTTTTGTGTCTCCTGCCTCTTGTGCTGCCTTGTAGAGTGTGAGGCTACATTAATAACAATGTGTTAACCCTTGAGGGCTCAGTCGAGTGCTAGTTCATCATTTAGCAGTAAGGCATTCCCTGGGAAATATCCCACCCTCTGATTCCACCACCTCAACCAAGCTTCACAATCCTCATTGCTGTGTACAGCATTGAACTGTTTGTTTAAAACTTATATACACAGTATATATATATATATATATATATCCATAGCTGTGGATGGTCTGCCCGACAAGTGAGGTCTCATGCTAATCTTTTATAACTCGAGATTGGTTTAAGCGTGAGGTTCAGTCTCACTTCCAAAATGTATGTTAGCATTAACTACTCTAACTCTGGCTTTCCCTGTTATCCAGCTAACCACCCAATCCCTGTTTAGATCTTGTCAAGCTCCTGGGCTCAATAACATCATGTGGCAGGGAGTTCCACAAGCTCACTGTTCCACGAAAAAGTACATCCTTTAATGAGTTTGGAACATGCCACCTTTTCATTTCTTTTTTCTCTGTTTATTTATTAGCCAATAAATTGTTCCAAAAGCATTCCTCTAACTAGCTTTACACCACCCAAAAGACGAAGTTTAGTGGACATACAAGATCTGGCCTTCAGAAAGCTGTAAAACTAGGATGGTGGCCAACTAGTAAGGTAGCAGTTTAACACTTCTTTGCTCCCTCCTTAGTATTCAAAGTATGTTGGCCCAACTTACAGGCTGGGGGGCTCTCTCCTGGGGACCAGTGACTCTGAATAAGATTTGGGGGTCATGGTGGAGGTTGGAGGATGAAAGACTCTGATGTTGATGTTCACTTTCCTTTAAGGGGTTTCTGGAGAGGAGACAGCCATCACAGCTCAGTATGGGAAAGACGTCACCCTGACCTGCATCTTCCCGTCCAAATTTAAGATAAGCTTCCATCGACTGAGCATCACCTGGACAAAGGAAGGAGCCCAGGGCCAGGGTCTCCTGGTTCACAGATTCTATCTGAAGATGAACTGGCGGGAGGGACAGGAAGAGGCTTACAGGGGCCGAACGCAGCTATATCCACAGGAATTCCCCCAGGGAAATGCATCCCTGAGACTCAGCGACGTTCGCCTCCAGGATGAGGGATCCTACCTCTGCAACGTCAGCTGTGAGCTGGGAAGCTGGTCCCAGAAGATTTCACTTATAGTGCTAAGTACGGTTCCTCTTCCTGTACCCCGGTCATAGCATCCACGACAATCACTCCAGGCCTGGTGTACCATGTGATCACCCAGCAGGGCAGATGGGCGCCTCATTGCAAAGCCACAGTGTATCCACCAAAAACGCCACACTCGTCTGGCCTTGACCTTGTCTGTTTTCTGTTCTACCCGTCACTTCCCAGGCAAGGGAAGGAGAACTCCCCTGCAGACCTGCACATTCACACCCAGTGCGACTTAAAAGGCCATCTAGCCGTATGATTTTCCATGCAGATTTTGTGTGGTGGGGAGAAATGGGTAACGTTCAGTGCAGCTTCTGCGTCTCAAAGAGATTGTTTCAGGCTCTCGGCAGATACCGGCAGCCATTGGTTCGTGGTCTGCCGGTCTCTGCTAGATTAAGGAGCCCATTAGTACCTGGTATTTTCTCCCTGTGAAAGTCCTTATACACAGCAATCATGCCACCTCTTCTTTTGGATAAGTTTCACAACCATAAAGGCTAGAGCGTGACATTTTCTTAAAATGAGCTCTTAGATTCTGGAGCTGAACAAGGCTGGCACCAGGGAAAGTCTAAGGGGCCATGAGCCAGTTCAATCAAACCCCCACGGATGTGTTCTGTGTATGTAACTTCTACATTTCAGAAAAAACTGGTGAAAATATTTGGGGGGAAAATGAGGATTTGATTGCAGGCACTTATCACTCTTCCATTTCCATAGGATCCAGGCGTTTACAGGGCCCTGTTTGGTAGGGCAGGGCTGTTACTGCCATTGTACAAATGGGAAAACTGAGGTATGGGGCGATGTAGTGACTTGTCCAAGTTCACCCAGGGGTTTTGTGGTCGAGCAGGGAATTAAGTCAGGACTCTGGAGTCCCAGGCTCGGGCCCTAACCCCCTCTCCTGTCTGGATGTTTGTTTCCCTTTCAGGTGACAGTGAAATGGAAAGGCCCATCATCGTTCAGCCAGGGGAGGACGTCATCCTGAATTGCTCCTTCCAGTCCGAGTTAAACCACCAGCCACTGAACATCACCTGGAAGAAGAAAGAAGAGGAGGGACCAGATCTCCTGGTTCACAGCTACTGCTCTGAGCCGGACCCACTGGAAACACAGGATGAGGCTTACCGGGGCCGGACCCAGCTGTATCCGGAGAGATTCCGCGAGGGAAACGCGTCCCTGAGACTCAAGAACATCCAGCTGGCGGACGACGGGATCTACACCTGCCACGTCAAGCCCCAACTGGGCAGGTTTTCCGTGCGGATGAGAGTGGCCGTGGAGAAGGGTAGGGCTCCTCTCACAGGGCACTGCACAAGTCCCAGGGTCTGGGCAGCTGGGCTGCTAGGAACTGCTCCACGCGGCGGGGAGTGGAGCTCTGTGCAGGGGAGCGGGGGGTCTAGGCGATAACCAGCGAGGTGGGAGGTGAGGTTTGGTGATGGCAAATGGGAAGGGGAGTGGGGTCTGTGGAAGGGAGGGTGTCCACGACATGCTCTTTCTAGGAAGCTGCGATCCACGCTACGGAAATGCCTGAGAGCCGCCGGGCTGGAGTCTGTGGGACATTTCTAACCCCCTCCCCACGTGCCCCAGGGGAATATCCCGTCTCTCATGCTGCGTCCCGTTGGGTTTATTTTGTGTTTTCCAGATGCTGAGCTTCTCCAGAGCCCATCAACATGGTGCAGTCTGTGGTGGATTGATCTGATAGTGTTACTGGGGATATTAGCATTTGCTCTCCTTCGAATGTATTATCCTTCCTTGTGGAAACTGTGGCTGGACAAAAAGTCACCTCGAAGTGAGTCCCAGCAGACTGTGTCCGACCATAAAAAAGACGAAGAGGAGAACAAACATCTGCTCCGGGCATCCTCGTCAACCTCTATGGAGCCAGGAGTGGCCAATCCCACCCACAGTCCACCTGCGCATTCCTGCCCGGTACGGCTCCAGACATTTCGCTTCCCTTCTTTGTTTGCACATGTGTCTGAGGTCATTAGATTTGAGGGGAGGAGGCTGGGTCACTAGGTCTTTCTCTTTGGATTTCTCAAGGCCCTGCTGCCCGTTTGAAATGATTCCCTTGTCAGGCAAACGTGGAAAGGGAAAAGAAATCAGGATTGCGGTTTTGAAAACTGTCATGTTTTCTTTCTTTTGTCACATCTCAAAGCCTCTTGGCGCAGAGACTTCACCTTTGCTTTATTTAAGGCTTGTTTACACCTGAAAGTTAATCCGGAATAAGGTAAATGTGTGAATTTAAAGCAGAATAACGATTCCATAATAACTCCATAAGGGGATATTCTTATTCCAGAATGAAAGTGCCTTTTTCTTTTGTCCAAAGTGGATTAAGGGCTTGCCTAGAGCAGGTCTACACTACAGGGTGGATCGATGCTGTGACAATCGATCCACCGGGCTTCGATTTATTAGGTCTAGTGAAGACCCGTTAAATCAATCGCCGATCACTCTCCCGTTGACTCTGGTACTCCACCAGAACGAAATGAGTAAGGGGAGTCGACGGGAGAGTGGACCCCATGGTAAGTAGATCTAAGACACATTAATTTGAGTTACGCTACTAACATAACTCAAATCGTGTAGCTTAGATCGACTTTCCCCTGTAGTTTAGACCTGCCACTACACAGGGAATGATTCCTGATTAACCGTTCCTGATTAACTCCCTGCGTGGACACTCTTATTCTTCATAAAGTGTGCTTTATCTGGAGCTAGCTTAATCCACTTCCAAAGCATTCATGTAGGGAGTTAATCCAGACTAGCTAGTCTGCTTTAAATTCACATTCTCCTTTATTCTGGATTAATTGTCATATGTAGTCAAGCTCACAGTTACTCTAAATTATGCCATCTGCAGCAGTCCCATAGGGACAGCTCCAGCAGCTGAGGTTCAGCTTGAGTCCCCAACCTCTTCTAACCTCCAGAATACCTCTTCCCAGAGCACTATGCAGACGTGAGGGGCATAGAGCAAGTTAGCCCAGCTTTACATGACCCTTATACCAGAAGACAGCCCACTCCCCCACTATTGGCTACCTTTTTAGGGCAGATTTCCAACCAGAACAGGAGTTGAGGACCTGGCCCTGAACGTTCTCAGCAACAGGTGCCACAGCTCACAAAGAGGGGCAGAATTTTCCTACTGCACTTGCAAACTGCTCTGTAAACTGATTTTGCAAACTGTGTAACCATCTCACAGACACTTGACTCAGAAAGTTTCTGCCCAGACTTAACTCCCACTTACTGAAGCCAGAAATATCAAACCTAACCTGTTTGGTAGATCCTATGGTGCTCTAAAGATCAAGCCAATTCTGAAGACAATTGCTTCTGCTATTTGAAAGTTGTGAAGATGTAACTTTGGTATGTCTTCTCCAAAATTGCCCTGGGTCCCCAAAACAGGCAGAGATTTTCAGATTCCAGTTGTGCGTCTAGGATGCTTGCTCAGAAAGGATCCTCTGTAAATGCATCTCACACCTTCCTTGCAGAAAGGGGGCTGCACACATGCCTTTATGGTAGTGTTACCACTTCTCACAGGTCCTGGTGAGGGATCTTTGACGGTCTGACATCTATGGGATTGGGGGAAGAAGGACAAGGTGTCCTCAGTCTCCTTCCTACAAGCAATTTCTTCAATTTAAGTGCAGATTGTTGCAAATTTGCTTTTAGCCTGCTGTGATTCTTCTGTGAGCTGATTACATTATAAATGTTGCCCTTGAGAATACACGATCAATATTTGGTCTGGGTTTTTCTGTTTTCAGGGGCAGACTGCCAAAGACATGGGAGAACCAAGGGCTGCTCCTGGAGTTCAAATAGTACCTACATCGATTTTTATAATGCAGAAGGCTTTGGAATACACCAGGTTAAATATCGCCATTATGGGAGAGCTAGGCTGTGGGAAATCATCCTTTATTAATGCCATGCGGGGGCTATGTGATGAAGATGAAGGTGCTGCCCCAGTCGGGGAGGAAGAAACGATGATGGAGCCAACAGCTTATCAGCATCCCAAACACCCGAGTGTGACTTTCTGGAGAATGCCGATAAGTGAGACAGAAGATGTTCAGCCAGAGGCATATCTCCAGCAGGTGAAATTTGTCCTCTACGACTTCTTCATCATCATGTGTTTAGAGGGATTCACACCTAAGCATGCTGAGCTGGCCCGGGAGATCCAGAAGGCAGGGAAGATGTATTACTTTGTGCGCTCCAAGGTGGATGCAGATTTGGATGATGCCAGACGAAGCCGGCCCTCCATTTATGACGAGGAGAAAATATTGAAGGACATCCGTAACCACTGCATCAGATGCCTGGAAGAGGGAGGGATGATCAATCCTGAGGTTTTCCTCCTCTCCGCATTTGAATTAGAGAAGTATGATTTTCCCCTCCTGCGAGAGAGCATGGAGAAAGCGCTCCCGGGCGACAAGAAAGGGGCTTTGATACTGGCCCTGCCCAACACCTCTCTGCAAATCTTGCAAAAGAAAAAGGAAGCCCTGCAGAAGCAGATCTGGAAAATAGCCCTTGTGTCCTGTCTTCTCACGGTTATTCACATGCCCGTTGTCTCCACCATTCTTGATGTAACCATCCTGTTGACATGCATGAGATATTATTGCCAAGTCTTTGGCCTGGATGATGTCTCCTTCATGGCTCTCGCGAGGCAGTTTGGCAAACCAATGGAAGAGCTGAAGGCCGTTATGGAGCCCCTGCTGGCCGTTATGAAGCCCCTGCTGGCCAAGGAAATTAGCATTAACATGGTCTTGCAGCTCCTGTCCTCGGTTGGGTGCGGCATATTGATAGTAGCAGATTTATTTCTGAGGCCTTTACGGGTGCTAGGATTCATGGTGTCTGGAGGAGTTGCAGGGGTAGGATTCTTGGTTGCTGGTGGAATTTCATTGGCTACCACGTATATCCTGCTGAAAACCTTTCTCAACCATGCTGCTGAAGATGCCCAAAGAATCCTACAGAAGATAAATCCATATGACAACAAGGAAAGCTAACGAAGCTAACGAGACGACTCAAACAAGGAAGGATTTCCAGGACCGGCATCCAAATGTTCAGGGCACACGCTTCACGAGCACCATGTGCTTATTCTGCTGTTCTTGTCCCTGTTCTGGTCCTTCCTTTTGAAGCACCCCTGGTGTAATCCTCCAGCGCGTAACTCCGCCAGCTTCCACTTGACACTGGAACTGGGCTGAGGTTGTCACACCAGACGGGCTTAGATTAGAAGAACCAGCATCATAAATCCGGGTCAACAGGTGAATAGTGAAATGATTGAATGTAGGTGTGTGGGAAAGTCTGGCTCACAGTGTATTCCCAGCCCAGGCAGCTGGCCCTGTTCTACTTCCCTTCTCACAGTTCTTTCTTTCTTATATTGTTTCTTTTCCTGTTATCTAGTTATATTACAGCAACGCTTACTAGAGACCCCAGCTGAGATCAGGGCCCCGACATGCCAGGTGCTGCCCAGACACAGCCGGAGACAGTCCCTGCCCCTAAGAGTTTACAAACAGACAAAAGGTGGGAGGGGAAATGGAGGCACAGAGCGAGACCCCAAGCAGGCCAGAAACACACCCTGCGTCTCCTGACTCCAAGGCTAGTGGGCTAACAAACCGCATCCCTCGCTTCCTCTCTCATCCTTTTAGCTCCGCTTCCTTGTTCACCACTCAGCAGCAGGCTCCGTGCCACCCGGGATGGGGCACTCCCGGGGGGATGCACAGGTCCTGGCATCTCAGCTCAGCGGCGCTAGCCTACAGGAAAAGAAAATCTGGGCCTGTCAGCTGTGCCATCTGTGCAGTCTGCTGCAGGAGCCACTGCTGCTTTCCCTGCAGCCCTAGGGACACATTTTCACAGCGGTGGCAGAGCCAGGGGCATGCAAATTTCTGCATCCTCGTGCTGTTCTCCTCTGTCCCAAACCTCCCGCCAGACTAGCCTGGGGACCTCGAGAAGACGGTCGCTGATAGAAACACCTTGTGTATCGCTATTAATGCTGTAGGTTTCCTGGCTAGGAAATGGGTTTGAGTCCCTCAGTCTGCATCATATCTCCCTCTGCATCCTGAGCCAGCCAGTCCCTTCCCTGGGGCCGGATGGGAGCCGGTGCCCCCTAGAAGGGACAGCCCCATGTCCCATTCTCCGCCCCCCTGAGCCAGTCAGTCCCTGCCCTGGGGCCGGATGGGAACTGCAGCACTTAGAGAGGAAAGGCCTCATGTCCCATTCCCTGCCCCCCGAGAGCCAGTCAGTCCTCTCCTCAATAGGTCATTTCAAGCAATAGCATTGCAAACCGGGCGATAGCTGATGGTTTATACCTTTAAAAGGTAATTGCTTGGCCCGCTCACCACAGGTTAGCGCGACTCTACTATAATGTGTATGTTCAATAGCCTGTGTGTTCTCCTCTTGTCAGACTTGTTTTATACTCCACTAAACATGTATATTTTGGGATTGAGAGTCTGTGTTTCCAAACCTCGTCACTCACAGAAGACCTTGGATTAATTCAGGGCTGGTGGACGGGTCAGTGCGGGGTCGCATGCACGGAAATAAGTGTGTGGTGAGCAGAAAACCTTAGGCCTTGTCTACACTACAGAAGTTTGCCAGGCGCTGTACTGTTTGGTACTTTGCAAAGGCTTGAGACGCACGTCTGGCCCACCTACAGCATTGCTTCAGCTGTTTGCTAATCATGCTGACTGCTGCCCGGCGTCCTATGTGCTTCATCAGGGCTGAAAATCAGCCGAGGGCTCGTCTGTCTGGGGAAATAGCCCGGAACAGCTATTGCAGAATAGCCACCCTGCAATAGCTTCCTGTGTGGACGCTCTGATTCCGCCCTCGGGGTACGTCTATACTTCAGTCACAGGGGGCACTGCCGCTCCTGGACGTATCTGAGCTGGCTTTAACGGGAGTGGGCCAGCCCGGCCAGTATTTACCCAGGATGCCGTGTGGGGGCTTACACAGCGTGTGCTGCCGCGGCTTTGCTGCTCCGTGACCCGAGCTAGCTGAGGTGTGTCTGCTTCAGCTGCAATCACAGCCCTTGCTTGCACTACAGGCAGCCTGATCAGCGGGGCTGCCCACTACCCCACACCTCTAGGGTGCCGCTGTTGGGCCAGGGGCACCACGACTCAGAGACGAGCAGTGCTTGAGCAGCTAGAGCTACCGAGTTGCCGCCTGTTCTGTATTACACGGGACGTCCCTTACTAAAATGAAAAATTGCCTGGCCCAGACTAAATCAGCACAAGCCACTTTTTCCCCATGTTTCAACAACGTGCGCTGCAGCTCACACCTTGTTCCCTCTCCGTGCTCTAGCAAAGGCAACTACTGTAGGATCCCCAGCCGTCACCTCTCTTGGGTGGAGACCTGCGCCTCTGGCCCTCCTGATCGGGGGTTTTCCAGGCTGCACCATTCCCTGCCTACACTGTGAATTCCCCCACAAGCCAGACTGCCTGAGCCGGCTTGTACTGCTTGTCTCCTCCGAGGCTATAACCAGTGTAACTGCCGGCAGCTATGAGTTAGCCCCCAGCTGTTTCTAAGCCAGCATATTTAGCCTTAAGGTGAAGGCAGGGCAAAGAAAACATATTAAAAACAATAAAAGAACCTGTGCTAATAAGCTTCCCAGAGCTCACCCCCAACCCCACAGGGCTCTGGTAGCTGATCAGTCCTTCAACCCCCCACTGGGTTTTTTCTGTGGTTACAAGTTCATCACAGCTGTTAGCACAGAACAAGACCCCCCCAGGAATAGGTCACAACAGGATCACAGGTGGACGTTCACCCAGGGAGGTAAAGGGTAGGATGGGGGGCTACAAAAACTGTCCTCTCCAGTCCAGTCTCTGTTCCAAGCAAACAGGCATTGGTGGGTTTCCAATCGGGGCTCATCGGGGCCCCTCGGCTCCCCCAGACACTCCACACAGATTTGCACCCGGCTGGGCTGTCCGGCACTTACAGCACACAGCTCTGGCCTGTCCACAGCTACTGGGGCTTGTTCCCACCTCCGTGCTGCCATGTGGCCAACCCGTCCACGCAGAGCCCAGCCACAACTCCTGGTTCAGGGCCCTTCCCCTTACCTGGCTGGGGGGTGGGGAGGGGGCTAATGAAAATTGTAGTCTCTGCTTTGCAGATCCATCCTTAAAAGGCCAGCCAGCCTGGGACAGTGAGAGATGATGCCAGGTGTGCGGGAGAGGGAAGCAAAGTTTAGTCTAAAACCGGAGCTGGGCTGAAAGACCTTTGCTAGCTTGGACGGTCTGGGAAATGAGATGAAGGAATCCAGAGCGCAGTGTGTTGAGGCTACCAGCAGAGGGCGAGAGTCTCCAAGTCCTGACAGGCCTTGGATTGAACTGGGAATCAGGCCCTGAGCTCATTAATTGTTATTTATTTACGTGTACCCCTGGTTGAGAACTGCTGGTCTGTGATGTCCTACAGTGGCCCGTTTGGATTCAACAGGCCTTCCTGATAGACGGGAGATAATCCTCCTGGGGCAAACCAGTATTTCACACCTAGAGCGCCCCCACTCTGCAGTGCCCCTCCTCCACCCTAACCGTAGAGACCCTGCCTAGAGCCCCCCCACACTGCAGTGCCCCTCCCTCACCCTAACCTAACTTATTCCTGGTTTACACCAGGCTGGGAGCAGATTTTGGCTCTTGTGGCTTTTGCCAGACACGGTTCTTCTGCTTCCTGTGAGCTCCCAATGTGAACCAGAATCTCCTCTGGACCCAGCGCGACACGCAGGCCCCGCTAGCTCTCCAAAGGGGCTTTAACATGGGCACTCATGGATTTAGATTGCAAAGCCTTTGGGTCAGGGACCATTGTATTGTGCAGCACCTAGCGCGATCTGGGCTTACACTGACACCAGCTCCTCCTCTGTTGTGCATGGCACCAGTTCTCAAGTAAACCCAGACCTGCCCTGCCAGGGGTTCGTCCAGCCCCAGTGGGGCTAGACGGCCTTGCTAGATGTGTCATTTGTGGGTCGTGGTGGGTGGCCAGGAGAGGTGGCAGGGAATTGCCATGCTTTGCTGTCCAGCTGCACACTTGTGGCTTTAGCTCTCTCTGGAGTAAGGTCTGACGGGGGCAGTCCCCTAGTCCTGGGGGGCCAACGGGGAGATGCTCATGAACTCCCTCCTGAGGGGTCACGGTTTCATAACCCCAAGATGTGCGATTTCACCTTTGCCCATTAGCTGCTGGTTACAGGTGTCTGGGTGCGTTTAGTGCCACTAACAGACCCACTTGATGCTTTTATCTCAGCTCCAGGCTCTGTGGGGAAAGCTGTTTTCAGCCTTCTGAGCTCCCCCGGGGCTGCCTGCCTGGGCTGAGGCATTCGCTCCCAGCTGCAGTGCCGAGGTACCCTGGGGGGGACAAGAAATTTACTAATAGATCCAAGACCAGAACCTGGTCTCCGGGTGTCTCCTGCCTGTTCCGCTGGATGGGATGGTCGGGAATCGGGACCTGTAGCAGAGCTGGTCTCTGAGCGCAGCCACCCTGGAGTATGCTTGGCCACCCCGCCTGATTAGCTGGAAGGCTCAGCAGACAGCTCCGAAGAAGCAGCAGTTTGCGGGCTGCTAAGCAGGGAGCCTTTAAAGCTTTTTTTTTTTTTTTAAGCAGATTGCACAACCAGGAACCAATCACGTTCTCCGGCGGCAAATTAAGAAAACGGCAGCAGCCCACCACCCGGATGAGCCCCAAAACAAGCAACTCGCTGCTTAAAGACATGACTAAGCAATTACATGCAGAGTGAAGCCACTTTCCGCTTGCTGGGAGCCGGCTTGGCAGCTTCATGGCGCCTGCTTGTTCCTAGCCCTGCTCCAGCCTGGCTCCTCTCCAGGGAACCTGCCTCGACCCGCAGCCCCAGTTCCTGATTTCTGGCGGGAAGTAACACACAAGCAAACCAGCCCCAGAACTTGTATTAGAGTCCAAACACAGAGCGGGGCCCCATGTAGCACTGGGCAATGCCACACCCTGACCGAAATCAGGGCTGCATATTGCTGGGTACAGTATGGAGCCCAATCAAGATCCAGGGTCCCAGGGC